CATATGTATGCAACAAGTTTCATTGCTTAATATTGGGTACTGATAATAGCAAATTAGGTAATTAATATTCATAGATTTAAAAAAAAACAAAAAACACATGTCTGTGAATTATCCCAGAGCATGCATGTACCAAGTTTCATTGAAATATGTCGAGTTTTTTTAAAGATATCAGTGTTAAGAGATGAAAATTGGCTAATTACTGTGCAAATTAAATAATTAATATGCACAAACAGAATGTAATCAGGTCTGCACATTATACCAGAGTTCTATGTATCAAATATATGGGTTAACTAACGAGTAGACATTCAATCATACACATATACATATATAGAGACAGGGTAACTGCAGATTCTTATGGTGTTCTTTGCTTATGTAAAAAAACTCTCAAAATGTATGAATGCACTTGGAATTCCGAAGTACTTGCCAACAAGAAAAATAACAAATGAAAAAATTGGAAATTTAACTATACACTGTATTTGCTCAAGCAAAACTAATTTTATAAAGTATAACATGAATCTGTGATATCGATTAACGATGTCAGGCTGCTTGAAGACTAAATTAGAGCTTGGAAGTAGACAAATATTTGTGACATTTATGTTTTAAAAAATCAACAATAAAAAAAAGGCACAATTAGAACAACCTCTGTCGAGATAACTGTTGTGTCATCAAACTTGGGAAGTCTTCCGCTAACAGTATGTGAACACGACAAGTTGGACAAGTGCTCTGTTCATGCATCCATTTTCGAATACACTGCAAATAGAAAAGGAAACAGAATGTATTTATTATGCACAACTGCTCAACCTCGCAAGAAATTTGGTGGTATATTCCAACCCAGAAAGTGAGTTATCATTGCTGAAACTTACATGGGATTCAAAACTGACAACGAAAATGCTGAATCTGGTCAATTTCTAGTTGTATGTAATGTGGATAATTCTAATTACTTACAGACTTATGAAATCGATGTTTGCATTCCAAGACACATGTTGCTCCAGTTGTTAGTTCCTCATGACAGATAACACATGGATCAACATCATCATCCAAATTAAAACCAATATTATGGAGACTTGGTTCTGGCATCACTGGCGACATAGGTGGGCCAATTGGTTTGGGCATTTGTGAAGTGACAACTGGTCGTGCAGCTGCACCGAGTGGAGCAGTTGTGGGAATAGGTTTAATCACTGGTACTCCACAGCCAGTTGAGAGCGAAGCCTGTCGAATGTAAGAAAGGTATTACTATATAACATAAAAGCAACATTAAGGTATAGATGCAGGTTCATGGGCACTTGGGAGTGACATGTTTTTTTTGCTCTCATTACCCAGATAGTCTTGGCTATAGACTATTAAAATTTCACAGCATTGGTTACACAGCATATTATGCACTATATTTAACTTTTCACAAAAACGATAATAAGTTTAAATTTGAGTGAATGCCAAATTAGCCATTATCTTTAATTGTGTTTTTCAGTTTGCAAGGACAGTTCAAATCTAAATAGCTCTCTCAATTGTTGTTTATTTCCAGTGAAACTTTCACACTATGTTTGTCAGTTTTTTATTAACAAATCGGAGTCCAGGCGTATAGCTAGCATGTTTTTTTTTTTTCATATTACAAAGTTGTCAAGCAGGATGTTTGCCGTATATGCAATCGCGGTCAGTATTTCACACTTTGGATGCCAATGTCCAAAAATGCAAAGCTTTAAAAATAAGCCCAGACATCCTTTTGTTCATAAAAACGTAATCAAAATAGTGTGAAAATTTGTCAAACTGACAAAAACTGTGAGAGCTAATTAAGTTTCAATCTCTCTGACCAACCAAAAAACACGAAAGGAGATAATGCCCGTTTTATTAAAGTGGCGTCTATAGTCCACAAAAATGGCTGTCGCATTACGACTAAAGCCAAAATCCACCATACACAGACGCTTGCTGATGTTCAATCGGCACATAATAAAATAAAATGAAAATATTTACAATTCAAGGAAAACGGATGAAAAATCTTTGCAAAGTCACAACCTTGCATGAGAACTGTCATGGCATTGTGTTATCAATTCCTTTGTAGGAGGGGCACAATGGATTACGAAAAGCGATCAGATACTCATACAATTATATAAACGTAGCGATCGCCATTGGGTGGGTTGATTCTAAATTTACCTTTCCTCAAAGCTTTAAATAAATACTTTGTATGACACAGTTTTTCATGATCCTCGGTGAAATGAACTGTGCAAAGTTCAACATTATAATTCCAGTTTCAGTTAGACGACCCAGTGAAATAGGCCTTAATATTTTGCTACACGTCTATTAACAGTTTTTACTACTCAATCGTTTAAAGACAAATTCGAAATATAGTCGCATTGGAAGGGAAACTATTGTAAACCAAGGCAGGTTTCATTCAACTACAGACGAGACGGAGAGATAAAAATAAGACGAACCCTGACCTCTGGAAATACCTCATTCATAGAGTGCTTAGTACCAGAGGTCGAAGAGCGCTACAATACAGCATAATTTGCGACATCACTACCAGTGCATGCTAAGTGATCAAGGTAACCAAGATGACATCGCAGAGTGCTTGGCTTTTCCGCAGCATTTAAAAACAGCATCTCGTTGCCGATTTTTCGAGAATTTCCTGATTTTTGTTTGTTTGTTTTTTAATTAACCAAGCATTTTATGTTAGTGTATTTTGACACTCACACTTGCATATATTTTGTTTATCCATAGCATCGCAATGCTATTAGCACAGCAATCGCTACAGCAAAACGAAAATTTTCTACTTTTGCCCACAATACGAAAAGCTTGAAATCTATGAACCAAGAGAACAACAGAAAAAGTGGCCTTGTTTTGAGCACAAATTTAAATTGCACTGGAAGCTGTCAGGCTATAAGTTGTCAACATGTTGCAAGATGAGGGTGAAAAAGTTTACTTATCTTTTACAACTGTGTTTTGTTTTTTTTTCCACTTGCATGCTGGAAGCGTCTATGTCTGTTTTTTCATAGTTTGCAAGGTAAGTTGAATGCACTTGAGGTAAGTAAACAGGGAGCCAAGACGGGATGTCACACACTACCACAACGTACTGAGGCCAGCAACTGATTTGCATATATCATCAAAGAACAACATAAACAAACTGTCAAGACTATTAATCACATACGCGTGCCTCAGTTACTTATATTTTAAAAATTTTTTTTTAGTATGTTTCAGCTTTGACAAAGCTCCGAAATTTTAACACTATCCTGGCCAAATTTCCTGAACCTGCATCTACACCTTAAGCGACATGGCAAAGTTGTGTGTTCATAATCTTCATGACAAACAAGCTGAGCAAGAACATCTAAAGAATGACAAGCATGACCACGCCTGGGTTCACAGTATCAAAATATGTTGGTAGTCATACCATTGAATGAACAGGAGTGAGTGAAAGTGCGTCTCTTACATATACCTGTACTGAATGTGGAAGTCCTTCCAGTCTTTTCTGGTCACTTGCAATCAGATCAGATACTCGAAGAATGATTTCATCAAGTGATAGTCCAGACAGTGAATTGCCATTTGCTGATCTCACATCTTTGATGAAATTAGTCAGTTGCACCCTGATAATTGGACAAAGAATGAACGTGTTAGCAGCTAGAACACATAACTACATCCACTTCACAGGCTAGTAATATTAAAAATTAAAACTGTCCCAATTTTGTAAATGCACTTCAGTTTAACCAATGACAGCACAGTTTGAGTCACAGTTATTGTTGTGAAGTAATAAACTTCTCCAATGTCTTGTATGTTATGCTAGCATGTAACTTTAAATTCCCACCAGTGTAGTATTCAGTGAATGTACGAATACTTACTTGTTGTATACAGGATACATAGCCATTAGTTTTGACATAATTTTCTCAAAGCTATTTTTCGGTTGATGTACCTGCTGTGCCTGTGCTGTTAAGGTGGGAAATTGCATTTGACGCGAAACATTTTGTGGCTGCTGTACGGACTGTTGAGTACCCGTCAGGTGTGGCTTGACTCGTGAGTGAGACTGAGTGTTATGTGGTGTGATGGCACTGATGGTAGGCTTGGAGGTGGGTGCAGGAGATACTAAGCCACTGGTACTAACTGCTGGTGCCACCTCAGCTCCAACTGTTGTTACAGTAGCAGTGGTTGGTACTGCTATGTTGGTACTGGATGTTAGTGCTGCTACAGCACTGTCTGATGTAGCAGGCTCAGACGATGGTACTGTAACTGAATCCAAGCCTGGTGGTGGAGTTGCAGACACTGTAGGCGGAGAAGGTGATATACTGAAAGGTGGTGGTGTAGTAACTCCTGAAGCTGGGAAGCTTGGTGGCACTCTGATACTCTTCAGCTGATGGGAATAAAAACAAGAAAAGTTATCACGCTGTACATAACTGCTGTGTTGCTGCTCTATCTAGAGTAGGCAATAGAAATTAATTGAATAATCAATTATCCAAATGTAGCTTTAGCCCAATGAGTTTGGATAACTGCGATATGACTACATTAATATAATTGATCTTCTAACCATAATTCTGAGGTAAAAACCATTATTATTATGAAGCAACTGAAGAAAATTAGAGGTATTTACCAGAGGATTTTGAAATAAAGCAGCTGGAGGCTGTGGTAGTGGAGAAATATTAATAGGTGGCAATGAACTCAACATTTGTCCTCTTCGTACCATGTCGATTCTTTCTTCATAAGAAGTCTGTATCAAGACAATATTACAGATGTAACTTAATAGATATCTTCCTGATTTAAGGATGTGGACCTCGTTTTGTGAAGGTCATAGAGACTTGCAGAATTTTCATGAATTTGTCACACGCAAAATAAAGGGTATTTGATGAAAATGCTTCCACATTAAACTATACTAACATGAATTGACTGATACATGCTCATATTTCAGTTTATTATTATGGCATGTTGAATGCCAGTTTAATCACAACAAGGAAACAGCATTAACCAACTTCTGTATATTGTACAAGTTTTCACAACAAGCCCCAATTCATCAAATCACGAACATGAACATATTGAGTAGATGGCAAACTGCAATCAATGGACAATACTGAGGTAGTATAACCTAAAGTAGAACCATAAAAACTCAAGGTTAAGACTATAAAGGTTGTCCAATGCGTTGTAAAAAGTTTTGTCTTATTCTTATCTGAATTAACAAACAGAATGATTAGTTGTTATTGTTCTGTCAAATCTCATTATTCAGCACATATTTTTCATCCATGTGATTAATTTACCAAACAAATTTACTTCAGTTAGCAGATAAATGAGGATCAACTGTAACTTGCTGCAGTTACTGTCCCATCAAATTTCTAGTACTGTAAAATGACTAATTTTCACTGGGTTTAAATTTCACTGAGTGGGTTAGGGTTTATTCACGGTTTTATCATTTAGATAATGTGTTCTATGCTCAATTTTACATATTCACTGGGTTTTAACTTAGCGCATCTTCCAGTCAGTGAAATAAGCAAAATTAAAACCCAGTGAATAATTAAAATCCTTTTACAGTATAAAGTTACACTTACTTTGATCTCTGCTATTTTTTTCTGTAGCTCTTCACTAAAAGTCTGCCAGAGGGCAGCCACACTTTTACACTGCTGTATCACATCTTCTGAAGTCATACCCATAATTCCTGGTGGTCTGTGGAGCAGATTTATAATATAAATGTCAGAAATATTACTTAATTCAAGTAATGATTGCTTGATTGTGTAAAAAAAGCATGTGAAAATGAGTTCATACCTATCTGCCATGTTGGTAAAATGTCTACAATAATACTCGGCTTCTTGACGTTTCACTTCAAGTGGTCTTTTTTCAATGCTCATCTTCAATTCAAAAATCATCATCTGAAACATAAGATATACATTTAGTGAGCATTGCCAAATACCAAGCAATAATGTTATTATTATATTGCAGCTAGTTTTGGGTTTTCTACATCATTGCTACAGTAAAGTAATATAGCAGAAGCGATGTTTTCTGTTTTGCTGGGTAAAGAAATTCTGGTCGCGCTCGTGATCGCGCCGAGTTTACTAAGGTACGCCGTGTCTGACTGATCACGCCGAGCTCGACATTGGGCTCGCTTTTTTGAGGGCCAGCCCTTCAATGACCTCGCCACTGGCAGGCCATGGCCTCGCCAATGGCGAGACATGGCCTCGCCAATGGCTAGACATGGGCTAGACATGGCCTCGCCAATGGCGAGAACACGTGGGTCCTTGTGTGCACATTGTACTGTACTTTATTATGATTTAAGATTCTAAATAAAGAGTTTGCAGTTCATTCTAAACTGTTTTACTTACCTCAGTTTTCACAGAAAAACTGCAGTAAAACAAACTTCACTAATGTGAATAGCTCTGCAACTTGTATGCTTTTTGACCAACAATTATCATAAAATACAAATACTCTTAATTCAATTATGAGGCTAAATAATTTAGATTTATATTAAGTGTTCAAATGTAGAAAAATACCTCAGCATCTTGGGCTCGCTTTAATGTGCTTTTGTATGTTTCTTCTGCTCTCACACGATCCTGCTCATAATTTAACTTCTCTGCAAACCGACCATCCCTGCAATATTAACACAGTTCAAATTTGGTCATGTTTGTAACTCAAGTTTTTGTAAAAACAAATCAAAGAAAGCTTAGAAAGAACTCCCATGTGCTGAGAGTATTGGAGACACATTAAATATAATTTGAAATTACTTAGCTGAAAACTACCGGTAATTATGAAAATCAGAAAATTAACATGAACAGTTTTGATTGTAAAACTAATGAGGTCTGCGCAATGTAACAAAAA